AAATAAGATATTTTTATTTTATATTTATAAGATTATTTTATTTTATTAAACTTAGCAGCAGAGGTCGAAATTTCAAAGTGAAGTCATTTTTTTTCCTTTTCTACATTGTTTTCATTTTATTTATCGACGTTTCGAAAAGCTGCTAAACTTTTATTCTCCGTTTAGTTAAAGTTTAAAGGAAAAGTCAGCCGCTAAGTGAAAGTAAACACAGATTAGCTTCCTGTGTGCTAACGTTAGCTCGGTGCTAAGCTGCGCTAACATGCTTCCGCGCTTTAACGGCTCACCTGCGCTTCTCTCTCTGACCCTCAGGGGCTTCCGTACAAACAGCCCGCTATCATCGTCACTCTGCGGGTTCGGAGCGGTTCGGTTCTGACCACATGGACCAGAACCACGGCACCGACATGACGGCGACAGGAGCGAAGTTTATAGTAAGCAGGGACACTTCCGGTTTGTCATTCAAAACAGACCCGTCATTTCCGGACTGTTTTGGACCCGCCCACAAACAAGTCATTAATGGGAACAAATAAAACCTCCCTGGTTTAATATCAGGGGTAATGCAGATCTAATTAGTAACATTCTGATTAAAATCTCAAACTTTCTAGAAGAATTTCACACATTTTTCCCAAAAAACTTCTGGTCTTTAAACTGTTCGTTTCATCAATGTTGATTAAGAAAATCTTCATTTAAATATTTAATATCTTTACCGCCATTTATGGAGATTTTATAGTTTATTTTTTATGAACCCCTCAATCAGGACCTCTTATCTTCTTATATCCTAAATGGTAATAAAGGAAAACATTTCATTCAGAAACTCTGTCCATTTTATTTAGTCCTACATTAAGAATAATAAACCATTTTCTTTATTTTATGCAGACCTTGGTGTAGATAATCCATTAAAGAATGGAGCTTAAAGACATTTAATAAGTTTTTATTCTCCATCTTTTAATATAAAAGTAAAGCATTATTTCCATAAACACATGGCGGACATGTTATCACAGTCGTCAGAATCAGATATTTGGTAAATTGGAAAACTTTGAGAAATACATCAGACCCCAGTTATGTCCTGAACAGATCTAGTTTTCTAGAAGTGCGCAGCTTATGGTGGCTGCATCTTTTTTC